ATTGACAATCATAATTGCTAAACGTTACAAAAGATGCTCATTAATGTGGTTCTATAGCCACTGGTTTTCAGTGGCTTTCGAAGCCACTAAACAAATAGGGGCACCTACGGTGCTCTGTTTGTAAAATTAATATTTCATATCTCCTCTAACTCCTGGCAAACACCCCCACCCAGTCCTGACCCCAACCCATTCCTCCAACCACGTCAATTGCGGGGTGCAAATTTAGTTCACTTTGGAGTCAATTGCGGGTGTGCAAAGTGGCCAACCGCACATGACACTTAGGTCTCGTTTGATACACGGAATTCAAACTATGGAATTGGAATTAAAGACTTCATTTCTAATTCTGGTGTTTGGTAGTACAAAAATTATGTGAATTTGGAATTGATAGTGTAAAAAATGTATTGAAATGGGTAGAATTCAATTCTATGGAATTAAATCCCATAGAATTTCAATTCCAATTCAATTCTAATTCTGTCAGTTCCGTATACCAAACGGACCCTTAAAAATTTCACAATCAATAAATACTTGAAATAAATTTCATTAATTCTTTTTTAAAGTTTTTATCGACCAACTCAAAAAACAAAAAATTAAATACATGAATTTTACTCTCTCCGTCCTAAAATGTTCTTCCCACTTACTTTTCACACGGTCAAACTTTAATCACTTTCTTTACCTATTTTATCAAGTATTTGATAAAATAATATAGTCTTGTCACCACTTGTTTTGTAGAAATTTTGATGTAGTTTTTAAATATATAAATTTTATTTTTTAATATTACACCTACAATCAAATAAATTGAATAGAAAATAAAGTCGGTCAAACCTCGTAAACATAACCGGGAAGAACATTATAGGAGGGAGGGAGTATATGGGAAGAATAGGAGTCCTGATAAAATTACTATAAAATAAAAATGCCACCATTGGAAATTCGTGCTAATCACATACTCCATATATACCAATACAATACTCCGTGTGTGTGTATATATATGTATGTATGTATATATATATGTATATATATATATAAATAATTATATATATATATATATAAATAATTATATATATATATATATATATATATATATATATATATATATATATATATATATATATATATAACAGTGTATATAAGGCCCCATTTGTGTAGAGAATAAGTTTTTTAAAAAACATGCAGTCTAACTGTATAATTTGTTGTTCATTACTGGCGAGAATTCGTTCTAAGATGCCAATTGGAATGGATTATGTGCCAATTTTAGGCACGCAAGTGAGTAGAGAATTAGAATCTTTTTGAGATGTAAAAAATTGACGCAGTTTCAACGTTTGAACTACTAATGTTGTCTTTGGTTTGGATTGATAGATTTTTTTAAATTGGAAATTTACCTACATAGTACTAATTAAAACATAATGAGTTTCTCGATGTAGTATCATATGTTTTTATTTTCTAATGTCCACTGGTTATTTTTCAAGTAGATACCTATTGCCACTAAACATTATTCAAAGTAAATGTTCACCGTCACTAGACATTATGAAAGTATTACTTAGGGAACAAAAAATTTTAGACGCTGCATTGGCAAAAATATATGTTTTAGTGCAATATCATTTAAATTTTCACTTTTTAATAACGATTAAAATAACAACACTTATAATCAATCAGAGATTTCTGATATTGAATAACAGAGAAAACATAACACATAAACTTTGTTGAACTAAAGACGGTTGAAGCACTTAAAACAGATCTTACAATAAGAATCCTTATATTGATCATATAATGATGATATCCCAAGGATGAAGAAGTCAATATTTCATATTATTAAAATTTTAATTTGTTTTCAAATTCATATTATTAAAATTTAGATAAATCTTTTACGTATAAAAATGAGACTCATATCATTAGAAATTTGATGTGTGTAATAATTATGTGATTTATTTCACCTAATTTCAGACTAGAAAATCCTTTTCCTTTGTATATAAATTTGAGACTCCTTATTCTAAGAATTCAACATGTGGTGCTTTAAAAAAATGGCAAATGACTCTTTAAGAAATTGACATGTGGCGATATCTATGTGGCACTATTTTAGATAAATTATCATTTATTTATGTAAGACAATCAAAAAAACCAAATATATAATTTGTTGGAATAAATAAATATTTAACATTCACTCAAAAAACAACTCAACGTATGATTAACAATTTAATATACTACAAATAATACTTGACATGATATTAAATTAAAATTTTAATTTTTATTCAAAATAAAATTCTTTATATTTTAATAAATCTTTTATATATAAAAATGATACTAATATAGAAAGTTGATATGTGTATTTATTATGTGATTTATTTCACTTAATTTTCAGACAAGAAAATATGAAATAAATATTTTAGGATGAAATTTTTTGAATAGATTTAAATATGAAATTCAGATTTTTGTTTTATAATAATATTCTTTTCTAATGTAATATTTTTTTATCTCTTTATGTATAACAAGCTTTCAATTAATAAACACGTAACTCTTTTCACCCTTAAAAAATTATACGAGTATTTTTTTAGAATATGCTTAAAAAATTAATTTTGAATCTATTTTTTTAAGTAATGATATAAAATTAAAAAAATACTATATGATTGGTTTATACTAATCTTCAACTAGAAAAAATACTACACATAATTTAATAGTTTAAATATATTAATTTTATGATTTGATTTAATTACTATAAAACCTATTATGTTTTATACCATTTATGATCTAAATTTAAAAATATATTATTTTTAATTATCTATTAGCAAATGATAGTTAAATTAAAATATAGAATATAGGTAATCAAAATATGTGTCACCTTACCATACAATGTGTACACAAACATTCTTTATGATTTCAACATCATCGAATAAATTTAAATATGGAATATATGTATTCTTTTTAATTAGAATTCTTTTTAATTTTACATTCTTTTCATTTCATTTATAATAAAACTTTCAATGAAAGAAAAAGATTTCTTTCATTAAAAAAGATACTCTCTTTGTCTCCAAATAAATTTTATATTTGTTTATGATATGCTTATTAAATGAAGTTAACTTTTCTTTTATTAGTTTAAACATTGACATTAAAAAATAAAATACTCCTGTATATTTAAATCTCTAAATTAATATTTTATAAAACAAAAATTCACGGGCTTGAATGATTACTTATTCAAACATAAAAGAAAAAATAAATAAAATTTGCCAAATGTATTTACAATTTTTCATTCAGAATTATAGGATTACTAATAATTTTTATCTAAAAAGTTATTCTCTTTTCGAGGATAGGGCACTACTGGCACCCATGCTTGAGGTTGTAGAAATGGTAAATGATTTTTTCATATCCCTCATTCCTGGAGATGAAGAGTTTTGATTATTCATGTCAGGCAAATTTAGATGTAAGTGTTGATGGCGATTGGATAACTGTTGAATTTTCGAATAAATTCAAATTTTCGAAGATGTCAAACCACAAAATAGTTTTTAAAAAAGAGTATCAAAATAGTTTGAATAACTGCGAATGAGTGTTATCGATGCTTTAATGGTTTTGGGAAATATAGTCGAAGAAAAGTTTACATACCTTGGATGAATTTGATAGCATCTGATCGAGGACTACAATTGAAGTTTTAGAGAGGACAATGCTCAATAGTTTTATGTTTTTCAATGACTATCGACAAAAGTCAAGGTCAACATTGTAATTTGTTGTATTATATATATTTAACCGATTCATTCTTCATTCATGGTCAGCTTTATGTTGTTTTTTCAAGATTGAAGACAAAGACAACCTTACAAATATTGGTTCTAGATGACAATAGAAATCCTAACAACCATACCAAAAATGTTGTATATACTAAAATCTATTACAAAATTTGGTATTAAAAAACATTTTGTTTTGTACACATTCAATTCTTCAAATATTATTTATTCGACTTTGGAATTTTCGTCTATAGTATTAAAAATCATGTAAGATATATATTTTTTATTTCAAAGAAAATATTACATTGAAACAGTTTTAGAATCGATAAAAATTTTGTTCGATCCCGTGCGTCGCACGGGTTAGAATGCTAGTATTATATATTTTGGACTCTGTTTACGAAAATCTAAAAGATTTTCGTAAAGCAATAATATCCAAAATAACATTGACCCCGGCTAGGGGCTATGCCTCTTGACCCCGCTATGAGCTACCGCCCCTTGGACCCCGCTACCGGGTGATGTAGCCCTCGGACCCATGCCATAAATTTGTTATATCAAGTCCTCCATTTGTAGAGGTTGCGATAGTTGGATTTATCAAATCTAAATGCCGAGCGCTTTCAGAATCCATATTTGCTAGTTTCATCAAACGGGCCCTTAAATTCATTCATCTTTTTTGAGTAAAAATATTTCAAAGCAATGCGGGCCTATTTGGTGAGTTAAAATATGATATGAGTTTCAAAATTTGAAATAAAATTGTTTGAAAAAAATTAAAATTATAATTTAATTAGTGATTGTCGAGGTCATCAGTAATTTATTGGTTGTGCCAGTGGTAGTTGGTGGCGTGAGATGGTCGAAGGTTGAGGACGGTTTTATATCCATACATTGATATCTCTCGAGATATCAAATCTATCCATTCTAAGAACTACCGATATCTCGAGACATCATATATGAATTTTTCTAGGCGTCACCAAAAACTAATAAACAAAATCTGATACCCAGAGATATGAAAACTGATCTCAAAAAATTACTTTTGCAATTTAAATTAATGACACGCACACGCCAAAACAAGAACCAGACATTTATGTCACCATGTCATAGGGTGTCAATACTCAATATACCAAAACAGATTTTCTTTTTTCTTTTTTTCATTTTTTCATTTGTTTTAAAAAAAAAGAAAAAAAAATAAAGAATATACCGTCGGAGCATTTCAGCATTATTATAAACCGTTGCCGCCTGTGCTCTCAATTTCTGGCTTCTCTATAAATGGCGGCCGACCTTCTTCTTCTTCTTCCTCGCCAGTTTTCACGTCCCCAACTTCCTCTGTAAACTGAAACTCCCTTTCAATCCCCCCTTCAAATCCCCTCCAATTCGCACAGATTCGAATCGAATCTCGCTCTCGGGATGAACTCGAAGAGGGTTGAGAATTTCTCCGCCGTTCTGTCCATCCCCGGCGACGGAGGAATGCCGCCGCCGCCGCCTATGGAAGTTCACAGGGTTTGTATGCCGCCGCACAGGACGACGGTGCAGAAGCTGAGGCAGCGATTGGGAGAGATCTTCTTCCCGGATAATCCCCTCCACATGTTCAAGGACCAATCTAGGGTTAAGAGGCTGCTATTGAGTCTGCAGTTCTTCTTCCCCGTTCTCGAGTGGGGACCGAATTACAGCCTCCGGTTGCTCCGGTCGGATGTCGTCTCCGGCCTCACCATTGCCAGTCTCGCCATCCCTCAGGGCATCAGTTATGCCAAACTGGCCAATTTGCCGCCCATCATCGGCCTCTGTGAGTATATATGCTCTTATAAATTGATAGAGAAACATGAACATGCTATGGCTGGTTGTATGTCCAAAAAAGCTTTTATACTCCTATTTATTGAGTTTTAGGAAATTGATATGATATGAATATACAATGTAAATTTTGAAATCGTCAAAATGATATGAATTTTAAAATATGAAACAATAGTTTTTAGTTAGAGATAGGTAGGAGGGGTGGTTAGTGGTTGTTGGAGATATCAAAGTGAATATCAAATATGAACTTTGTTTAAATTTCACCAAACATCAATAAACCTCATGCATAGATGAGATTTATTTTTGTTCTAGTTTTATTATTGTTTAAATATGTGACGATGAAGTTCGAATTTGTGACCTCTGGTACCCTATCAAGAAACTAACACAGTCAAGTTATAGGCATAGAAAAGGTTTTATACTCTAACGGAGTTTATGGCCGTGTTTGGTTCGGTCTCAGATTCGAGCTTTGTGCCGCCGCTGGTGTACTCCCTTCTCGGGAGCTCCCGGCATCTGGCGGTGGGGCCGGTGTCGATAGCTTCCCTTGTGATGGGCACAATGCTTACTGAGGGAGTTCCACATGGAGGAGATAACCATGTTCTTTACCTTAAAATGGCCTTCACTGCCACATTTGTTGCTGGAATCTTTCAAGCCTCTTTGGGATTCTTCAGGTAATTTTGAAGCTTTTTATGCAGAGCTTAGACACTGTTGTTGAAATCTCTGGGCTATGGAAAGTTGTTGAAACTGATTCCCCTGCCATTAGTCTCACTTAAAGCTGCAACCTTATTTTTAGGGAAAGCCAACAAATTTCAGTTTTTGCTTTATTGATTTTTAAAATGCATATTAATAGTACTAGTCATGTTTCTTAGGATCACACACACTATGATCAAAATAAGGAAGAAAATGAAGAAATACTTTACATCAGACTCCATAATCTAACAATGTTAACTTTGAAAAGTGCCAACAAAAAATTGAAACCCATTTTTTCAAGGTTTCATAAAATTAAATTTGTTCTCATAGGAACAGAAACAAAAATTTCAGGGGAAAAAATCATGTAGTTTTGCACTAAAATGGGAGTTTTGAATTGTTTTGCAGGTTAGGGTTCATAATAGATTTTCTATCAAAGGCAACCCTTCTTGGGTTCATGGCTGGAGCAGCGGTCATTGTTTCTTTGCAACAATTGAAAGGGTTGCTTGGGATTGTCCATTTCACTACCAAGATGCAAATTATTCCTGTTTTGTCCTCTGTTTTCCACCACACAGATGAGGTAACAATTACATCTTTTTCTATTTGGTCGGAGCAAAAGAATAGGCGACAGAGAAACAGAAGGATGAGGAGAGAAAGAAATGGCCAAATGGGTGTGAAATAATAGTGCAATTACTGTAGAATAGAAAGAAAATAAAGGTGAAGCCTTTTTTTAGGAAGGACAAAGGGAAAAAGGGATGGAGGGAAAACTATTTTATTTAAGGTTAAATATATTTTTTGTCTGAATTCTGTGTTAATCTTTTTAACAAATTTTGTTGTTAATTCATTCATGTAATTTTTTTTCTTTTTCAAATGGTTCTCCATCCTCTCACCAATTTGGAGCTAATAAGGATTATGTTTTTGGTCCTTTCAGTGATTTTATTTTTGATTCTTTTAAACCCTGTCACTAGCTCTATATTGGTGATTTGGTGGGATGATCATTTGCGAAAATAGTATTTTATGAGAATGAATTAGCAACAAAAAATTTTAGTGGGACCAAACATAAAATTCACGTATTGTAAATGGACCTAGAAAATATTTCACCTTTTTATCTATTATGAATAAATTTGTTATATACCCCTTTCCCAAAATTTAATTTTAATTATTTTGAGACATTCTAAAAATAAAATGTATTAAAAATTATTTTATTCATGTTATATCTTACTTTATTAAGTCAAAATAAAGTGAAACGTGATTCCCCAAAGGTGGAGGTACATCAATATTGTGTGGGGTGTGGTACCCAATTCTCCAAAAAAGCAATTTTTTGGTAGGATACTTTACACCAACTTTTTCCCATAGTACCACCTGTTTCAAAATATTTTATTCATTTTCTATTTATTCTAAAATAATTTATTTATTTTTTATTTATTCCTTTTTTATTTATTCTAAAATTATTTTTTCTAAAATAATTTATTCATTTTTATTTGTTCTAAGTTAATTTATTCATTTTTATTTGTTTTGAAATATATTATTTACTTTTTTCATTTTTGAAAAAAATAATGTGATTCAAATTATTTTTCAGTCATAAATAAATTCAAATTATTAGTTTTCACTTTTCTACCTCTTTCAACTTTTTATCTAATACTCCTTTCCATCCCAAAAAAAAGTTCACATTTTGACTTGACACAAAGTTTAAGAAAAATGAAAATGTGTGGTTGAAAATGATGCAGAAGAGAGAAAGGAACGGAGGGAGTAGAGTAATTTTCTCCTCAATTTTGTGAAATCAAAATTTTTTGAGGAAGGAGTAGAAGAAAGATGTTTTAATGTGGGCCTAGCTTTTTTCTTTTAATTTTCTCTATTTTCCTTGAATAAGTCAAACTACACAAAATAGCTCTCTCTCCGTTCAACTAAACCAGAAAAGAGCCATTGAAGTACAACGTTCCTTTTGGTTGGAGGAAAATAAAAGTGAAGCAGAATATGTTTTTTATTGGAAAAAAGTACAGTAATTTTTTTCCGAAATATTCAAAATTAAGCATACCAATATTATTCTAGAAGTTTGTTTTTTCTCTGAAAATACAGAGTAAGGTGTAATATGTACTTAGTACAATAACATAGTGACCATCTGTAAACATAAATTTGGATTTTATTTCAGAGTTGATCCAAATTGCATGCTCCATATTAAATGTTTGGAAATCTAAAAATTTTGAATTTGGGACAAATTCTTCAAATTTCTAACAAAACTGATTACAAATCCATACCCTTGTTGAAATTTGAAATCCAAGAATTCAAATTTTAGAATTGAAATCCAAAAGTTCAAATGCATTCCTAATTTCCAAATGCTACCTAATGATTGTTCTACAAAACAAAATACTTCTCCCTCCCAAAATGACTTACAAGGAAGCCAAAACAAGGCAAAACCTTAAATTTTTTAAAATTAATTTTATTTAAAAATTGGTATAAAAACAAAAAATAAAAATTATATATTTAAAACTGCGTCAAAACCCACAAAACAAGGGTGACAAGAAATTTTATTTTTACAAATTAATCAATGAAAAAAATAAATAAACAAAAGTTTTTGTGAATTTGGAATAGTGAAGTTGTGTTAATCATTTTGGGACAGAAGGAGGGGGTATGAATCTGTTTCAAGAAAATGACTTTCCAAGACCTCCAAGATGAATCCCAAGAAAATACTCTCTCCTGTCCTAAAACACTTCACGTTTCGAAAAACATGTCTTACTTTATTTCCTCTTTTAAAGTAATAAACATGCAGCCCACATAATTTCTCTGATCTAAACAAAGTCCAATCATACACTTTTTACTTTTAATAGAGTATTTTTCTTAAACATGATAGTCGGATCATGTAATGCTTTTTGGGACGGAGGGTGTCTTATAGAATGTGAAAAAATTTCCTGATAAATTTTTACCATGCTATAAACCAAGGGAAATTCACAAAATATTATGAAGGATGAATCCCACTTTTTTAAATAAAACAAATTGTTATTGAAAAATACACCTCTAGTTTTTGCCTATTATTATTATTTCATTTAGTTAAATACTCATTAAATACCTGTTTCAATTCTGTCCAGTCAGACCCTAAAAATGGTCATTTTAGTTCACATTTAGCATAGCCAAACAGGCCATATGATTGCATACAAGATCTGAGTAGAGACTAGAGAGTCAGTGATATATATGTAGACAACCTTGATGAATACTACTAATGTTGGTGTTTGTGTTTTATATACAGTGGTCTTGGCAAACCATTGTGATGGGAATGGTTTTCCTCATCTCACTCTTGTCAGCAAGGCAAATTGTGAGTATGCTTTTTCCTAATTCCTCGTGTTTCTTTTGGCACCCATTTTGGGCGCGAGAAAATGGCAGCAAAATTCTACTGTTCTCCATTGGGCCCTTAACCTACCCCACAAGTCCACAAACCCAACCTCCTATCCATCGCTCTAGCTTCGTAGCATTTAGCCAAAATACCTTAGCATTTTTGTGAAATGCTAGGGGGCAGGGGTTGAGTTTGTGGGTGGGTTAGGGGACTAGGACCCTGTAAGACCCCGGTGTCATATTATAACACCAAGTGTTGGGGTCAAAAGAACCGGTCCCGAGCAAAGAACAAATCTATACCTCTATATGTAATACAAGGCAGTTGTTCACTAGTTTGTGCCTGTTTTGTTCTTGCTAATGGTTTGTTTTCTCCATGTTCTCCCTTCCCGCCAACACAGAGTGTATGGAAACCAAAATACTTTTGGATTTCAGCGGCTGCACCATTGACTTCAGTTATAATCTCAACTTGCATAGTTGCACTTCTTGGGCCAAAGGCTCACAAGATTGACACTGTAAGTATGAAGTTTATTTGGCCTTAGCAAAACTTTTCCCTCTGCAGCCTACTAGGATGAGATACTAAGGTTGTTTAGGTTGTGTCTTTGATATCATGTAAAATTGTGAGATTCCAACCCAAAACCAGTTGGCAACGAGACGAGTAATTAATATTCTAGCTAGTCTTTTTTTATACTGGGCGTGCGAGGTGAGACTTTTATCCTCAACACGAGTAATTAATATTCTAGCTAGACTTTTATTCAAGTTGAGGCATACTTGAATGCACCTAGGCTTCTTTTTTGTGTTCCTAAGCATTTGCTTTGATACCATGTAGAATTGTAAGATTCCAGCTCAAAATCAACAAACAATGGGCAATATTACTCCAAAAATAAAGGCAATGATACACTACTGAGGTTGTTTAGGAACTTTGTGCATGCAGATTGGGCATCTACCAAAGGGTCTAAATCCACCTTCATCAAACATGTTATACTTCCATGGCCCTTATTTGGGTCTTGCTATCAAGACTGGCATTATAACCGGAATATTATCTCTCACCGAAGGAATTGCAGTAGGAAGGACATTTGCTGCTTTGAAGAATTACCAAGTTGACGGCAACAAAGAAATGATGGCTATTGGTCTCATGAACATGGCTGGCTCATGTTCTTCTTGCTATGTTACCACAGGTATAAAAAATAATCCCCCTTTGGCTCTTCAATGGCAATAAGGGTCCGTTTGGGAGGGTAAATGACTTATGGAAGTCATTTTTCTATTCTCTTGGGTGTCTGATCTTGGAAAATAGGAGTCAACAGAAAATGATTTACAAAGAACGTAGTATAACAGAAAATGAAGGTTATTTGGAGGATTTTGTCCTTTTTTGGTGGAAGACATTTTTCATTGTTCTCGTACGTAGATCGAAACACACCACTTTTATTATTATGTTATAACAATAAAAATTAGTTTTTTTTCATTTTCCAAACTTTCAGTCAAACCATTATATGAATTTATTTTACATAAGTTAAATGCTTCAGAACTCATTGCCTGAAATTTGTTTTCCATCTTTCCAAACAGATCCTAAAAGAAAATGTGGAAACTAGAGAACAAAATTGCTTTACATTATTGACTGCTGTGATATTGTGAAATCTATAGAAAAAGTAAGAGAGATGAAGTTGTATAAAAGTCAAACTCTAGTGATATAGGTTTATTGTACATGAAGATATGATATACGAAGTAGATTTCAACACTTTGTCTTTTTGGAACATGGTCAAGATAAGGAAAGAAAACATGTCAAACCCAAAAGTATGACAGGAAAAGAAACTAGGAGGAAAATATGTGTCAAAGTTAAAACACATTTTGATCCTTATTTAAATAAAAAAATACTTTGAATGATATACTCCGTAATAAAAATGATTTCATAAGATTTGTCTTGCAAAAAAGTAGAACTAACTCAATAGGACGTTGGAAGTATAAATATATGCAAAGATTGCTTCTATCACAAATTTAATGTCCACCATGGACCTTCTTGCATGACCAACTTATTAAATTTTAAAAGATAAAATACACATTTATAATAATTTATTGCTTAAATGAGAAGCTCCATATATCCATATAAGAAGTGACCATATGCGAAGTCTTAAAAAAAATTTAATCAACGTAAAACCAAACAACAAGTGAAAGCTCATACAAGGTAAAACCACACCTTTAAAAAACTATTTTCCTTGGAATTGTTTCCCTTTTAGGATCATTTTTTGTGTCCAAAACATAGCCACAATGCATGTTAAGACAAATAAGAACCTTAAATTATGTATGCCATATTCTCATTTGCAGGATCGTTTTCCCGGTCTGCTGTGAACTACAATGCGGGAGCACAGACAGTGGTGTCGAACATAATAATGGCAACGACTGTGCTGATCACTCTGCTCTTTCTCATGCCCCTTTTCCATTACACGCCGAACCTCATCTTAGCAGCCATTATCATCACTGCCGTGATTGGCCTTATTGATTACCAAGCTGCTTTCCGGCTATGGAAAGTCGACAAGCTTGACTTTTTGGCTTGTATCTGCTCCTTCTTTGGTGTTCTTTTCATCTCCGTGCCTCTTGGCCTTGCCATTGCAGTAAGGAGCTTCCTCTATATTGACATTCTAATAACTAGATGAAATCCATCCTTCAACACTATTTGGGTCAGTTTGGAACACAAAAAGTGGTAGTGAAAGGGGAAAAATGCAATTTTTTTTATTAAAAATGATTTTACTCTTACGGTCTGTTTGGATGGAAAATGGCTTTTGGAGAATAAATTCAGGAAAATGACTTTTGGAAAACTCATGCACTCCATATTTTCTGGTGATTGGTTGAAAGTTGAGAAAATGAAAATACTATTTTTTTTGTTATAAGTTATAACGTAATAAAATTTGGTGAGTTTCGATCTAAGAATAGGAGAAAATTTGCGAAATGGATTTATTTTGTTTTAACTGAATTTTTATTCTCTCTAAAATGTTCATTCCTTGAAAATTCATCTTTTTTCCTTGTTATTTTCTTCCCTAGGATTTTCCAGGTTCCAAACACACCCTAACACTACACGATTCAGATTTCTAATTATTCTTTTTTGGTGAAATTTTATAAGGTTGGAGTTTCTGTGTTCAAGATTCTTTTGAATGTCACAAGGCCAAATACATGTGTTCTGGGAAACATTCCTGGGACTCAGGTATATCAAAGCCTAAGCAGATACAGAACAGCCATTAGGATTCCCTCTTTCCTTGTGCTCTCTGTGGAAGCTCCCATCTACTTTGCAAATTCCACCTACTTACAAGAAAGGTAACTTCATTGATCCTTATAGTGAACACAATTCGGACATACTTCTTCCGTTCTTAAATAAATGCAACGGATGAGGGTTTTGTACTAGTCATAAACTCACATTTGATTATCTTTTTAGACAAATTCACACTGTTACCCAAAAGTGTGTGATTTTACATAATTACTCTTGAAGATTTTTTATATGTTTACATCGGTGCTTCCAGTTGAACAGAACCACTAGTTCGATTTGGATGCACCGATATAAACATGTATCAATTCCGGTAGCAGAACTGTAAATATATAAAACAATAGGAAAAATCATGTAAATTTGAGCAATAATGTGAGTAATGACTGAATTTCCCTTCTTTTACGGAGTATAATTTATACATAAATAAAAAATATAATAATGCGAGGTCTTGTTAGGCTCATCTTGATATAAGCTTTTGTAATACAACTTTTTTGTCATTTTTTATCAAAACACAATATAAGATATACACTTTATTTCAGCGTGGAGAAATTATATACTACGGGGTATATGTAACTTATGACATTATAAATAATTATATTAAGAGTTTATTACAGTTTTATGCAAAAACATTTAATTATGAAGTACTTGGCTAAATTTATTCAAGATCATGAACAATTATTTTGCAGATTGCTGAGATGGGTCCGAGAGGAAGAAGAGAGGGCTGCGGCGAACAAAGAAAGCGCGATTAAATGTGTAGTTATTGACATGTCGGCAGTGACAGCCATAGACACAAGCGGTATCGACACAATCCGTGAACTGAAACGGGTGTTGGAGAGACAGTCTCTCAAGCTTGTGTTGGCGAACCCGTTAGGCAATGTAATGGAGAAGTTGCACAAGTCCAATGTCCTTGAAGAGCTCGGCGGGGACGGTTTGTATTTGACGGTTGCAGAAGCCGTTGCAGACTTGTCCACGCTGAAGCCCGGCGGATATGAACCTTAACAGACAGAGGGGCTATTCAGATGTTAGGTCATGAAAGGAGAGTTAAGTATTTATACATCTTTTTTTTATATTTTTAAATTTGTGTGTTGTACAGACAATGCTTGTTTGTGGGCAACATAGGCAAGTTTTGTATCTAAGTCCAAAAAAATGGATGGTCTAAACTTGTTTATACTAGTTGAATAATGTTGTAAAATTAATGGACACTTCCAATTATCATTTGGTAGTGTTGTAACAATGGAGAAATTGGCTACAAAGGGCCAATTCCTAGAATAATTGAATCTTGCTCCCAAAAAAAATTCTATCTTAAATTAGATGGTTTAAGGGCACTAGTAATGGGCATCACGCCCACCGGAGTGATCGCCGGTTTTAACACCGGGGGGCGTTAAACACCGCCCCCATCGGCTTCATCCGGGCGTCATTTGTTCGGCGTCATTGGTTTGACGCATCTCCCCTTCCCCCTAACGGCTAATTTAGCCGTTGAAACCCCCCAAAAAAAAGAAAAATTTAATTATTTTTTTTATAAATTTCAAACTCCCCCTCTCCCATTCTCACACCTTCAATCTTCTTCACACATTTTTCAATTTCAAACTCCCCCCCTCTTTTGAACATAAATCCTTCCGGCTCCAGCTTCTTCCCCAATGATCTCGAGCCTCACGAGCACGCGATGTGGTATTTCTAACAATACGGGAATCATCCGCCAATGTTCGAGACACAATAATCGGGGTACGTCGAGCAAGATTCCGTTCCTGAGACTCAACTGGGACCATCTGGCTCCAAAAAAAAGTACACGCCAGAAAAGCCACAAAGCAAAAGGCCCGATGACCGAGGTGGCACGGTCAATCCAAAAGTGGACGCCGGAGGAAGAGTGCTTATTGGCGTTTGGCTTGGGTTGACGTCTCCGAGCATCCTATCGTTGGTAAAAATTACCCCGAAATATATGTTTTCTAATATATTTATGTTTTTATTTATATAAAATTATATTTAATCGTGTCATAAAAAAATTCGTGTTATACTTTTTTAAAGGTTCGGAGCAAACGAAGGATGCGATGTGGGATCGTATCGAGGAGAAATTCTTCACGGTGATGAACAAGGACGGCTCCTACCGTACCCGGGACCAACTCACTTCCAAATGGAGCCACATCAACCGTAAAGTCCGAAACTTTATCGGAGTTTACGAGGAATGCGCCCGGTCCCGAAGGAGTGGGACGAACGACGCCGATGTTCTCCGGCTTGCCACGACCCGGTATCAAGATGACGGACACCAAGGCAAGGTGCCCATCGATCTTTGGAGGATTTTGAGCCGTTCCCCGAAGTGGCAACAACTCAACAGTCCCCGAAGGATTTGTTGTCGTTTTTTTAGTTTAATGAATGTAATTTTTTAAATTTTAAATTATTGTCGTTTCAATTTCTTTAAATTTAATGAATGTACTTTTTATTATTCGTGTTTCAATATAAATAAATAATAAATTAATTAAATTTTATTAATTTAGTTTTAGAAGATGTATATTTAAAATTGTAAAAAATGAAGGTTTGAAGCCCCAGTTTGAAGCCCCGGGGCTTCAAACCCATTTCCAGTGAATCTGTGAGGTAAGTTAAAGCTGACGTGACAGAGAGAAATTTTGAATCCTCGGGGCTTCAAGAGTATTTCTAGTACTCTAATTGATTTTTCAGTGTACAAGGAACTTTAGTAAAAAAATTAGGTGGTCAAGTGTCTAGTTTTTAGAAATTGTGAAAAACAATGTGAGATCATTGTCCAAACGGGCACTTAATGATTTCTACTAGTTAGATATTTGTGTAAACTATATATTTGTTGCAACTGGTTAAAAAAATTAATTATTTACTAAGATGGGTTGTTTGAAAATATGAAGATGAAGACGAGCCTGTCTCCAAAACAAGTTTTCCATGAGACAAAAAAAATGTTCTAAAGAATTGTTTGCCAAGTTCTTTTTGTAAAAAAAATTGGCCAACCAATTACTCATTTATATTCTTAAAAAAATAGCTCATTAAAAAAACATTTTTATATAACCAAGTTTTTGGTTGTTTGCAACACCTATTTGTATAACCAGGACTAGGGAGGACAATAGAAGACTTCACCTTTATCCATAGGCATTTTAAAAGAATTTCTTACTAATAATATTTTATTAAATTATCATATAGAAAAACTAGTAATAATAATAATAATAATAAATTTATTTTTTGAAAGGATAAAATATTTATTTTGTTTAACAATAAGAGTACATAAAAGAATCCATCATTACTTTTTCTGTGCAATGAACTACTCCGTATTACTTTACATTCTCTACATATAAATAGTACTCCCTTCCTCCCAAAAAAATTTCATACTTTTGATTAACGTGTATTCGTAAATTTTAAAATGATTTTATTTGCAAATTGGTAAGGAAAAATAACACATAAAAAATTATATTTAAAAACTATATAAAAAACTCTACAAAATAAGAGCTGACAAGAATATTTTATTTTATCAAATAATCAATAAAAACACACAAACAAATAAGATTTATCGAGAAGCCGTAAAAATAAACGGGAAAGGCTTTTTTGGATGGAGGGAGTATATTAATAAAATATTAAAAATATAAAACTTAAATATTAACACAAATGTACGATTATGCGGGTGATCGGATGATAGATCGGATGACGGGTGATAAAAATGACCACTCATATCTAACCCGATCCATCCATCATCCAAACTCATCCATATTCTTTTTCAAATTTTATCCATTTTATCAGATCAAGTGGTTCAGAATTTGCAACAGTAATTCCCTCTTATGTTGGCAAGAGTACGGTTATGGTTGTCAATCGAGAAACAATAAATCAAACCCATAAAATGGCTTTATGTCAAGATATAATTTTGATATATCAAAAATTTATATTATTTATTTAGTTAGATTATGTTTAATTTGAGCTCAAAAAATATTATTGTTTAATCAAAAAAGTTAAAATAGGAAAGCTTCTTAAGATCGGAGTTAGTATAATATACTCGGGGTACAAAATATATCTTTGTCGCGGAGTAATCGTCCTGTTTAATTTTTCGAATGATATTGGATGAATTTTAAGAATTTTAATAACCAATTATGTAAAATCACCAAGGTTCCCATAACATTGGAATCCAATGTCATGGGATGACCCGGGGGTGCTCCGGTGCCCCGTTCGTAAAATTGACGGTTCCTACCCCCCACCCCACCCCGACCCGAACACACCCCCCTACCCCGGTCAATTGCATCCCACAAGTTGATTTTGACTTTTGAGTCAAAATTTGACTCCATAGTCAAAATCAACTTGTGGGGTGCAATTGACAGGGGTAGGGGGTGTGTTCGGGTCGGGGTGGGGTGGGGGGTTTACCGGGGGGGTTAGGGGGGCATGTAAAATTGCATTGTATATTAGTAACAAAATAATTTCTTTAGATTTATTTTATGGAAAGTTTCAAAAATGTATTTCGTATATTAATATATTTAATAAAATTAATGATTAAAATTCATAAACATCAACAACATTGAACAAATAGCTCATATTTAATTGAGATGTTTTTTTGCAGCCTTTTAATCACCTTCCCACATCGCCTTTACAACAACCAGCTTTTTTCTTTAAGTAAGACCACTGGAACAAAGTGATTGCTTGTTCAATGCAACTCGCATGTTCGTTTCGTTTGAAGTTAAAATATAACGGAAGGTTGCCGAAAAGTTTAACAATGTAAGTAGAAAATATTTTATGTTTATATTTAGAGACTTTCCGGCAACCTTCCGTTACATTATAATTTTGTCTGATTTGAACTTGTGCTTATTAACGCCCAATATCTTCGTATGACATTCTATATAAAGATTGAAGGAATTTTTTTTTTATAATCTACATTTTCCTTATGATATAATCATTCTTTTAAAACTACCTTTTAGTAAATTTTACCAAAACTTCTTAAACGATATTAATGATTTATTTTATGCATTAAGAAATGCAAAACTGCTGATGATGCATTTATTTTTTGAACAAAGGAATTACATACACTTAACTTTATGACATGCTTATAAATGGTTATATAAAGAACCGATTATAGGTTTATACTAAAACATTAAACTTAATAGTTTTATACAAAAACATAAAATTATAAACTGTGATTAAATGTGTGGTTATTGACATTTCAATAGTTATAGTCATAGACATAAGTGTATCGACACAATCCTTGAACTGAAAAGGGTGTTGGAGAAAACTCTTAATACTTTTATGTTTTGATATGACTATTAACAGAAGTCAAAGTCAAACATTATCATTTGATAAATTGTTTTTAACCAAGTTCGTATTCACCCATGACCAACTTTATATTTTTGTTTCACGAGTAAAAATAAAGACAGAGTTAAAAATATTAGTTTTAGATGATATTGAAAACTCTTGCAATCACACCAAAAATGTTGTATATACTAGGAAGTCTTTCAAAAAAATATGAATTTAAAATGCATTTTGAGGTGTTCACTTTTGAATTTATATACAAGAATTTTTATTACCAAATATTAAATGCTAAATGATTTGTTTTACTTTGATTTTAATCTCTAGAATGTTAAAGAACACATTACTTATATCTTCATAAATTCATTTAAAAATATTATGGAGTACATTGAAGATAATTTATAAAATCGACAAAAACTTCATTTGACCGTGTGCGCATGAGTTAAAATATTACGGAGTAGTTCCTAATAAAATAATTGCAACATACATGCTCTTCAACATTATCTCTATCTTGCTCCCAAAAAAATCTATATCTAAAATCGGATTCTTTAAATGATTTTTTCAGTGTACAAGGAACTTTAATTAATTGTTTTTTTGCGGCGATTCAAAATTTGCACACGTTCATCATTATCATTACAATGTTCAATAATCATCAATGCACAATATCATAATAGCAAATAGTGACCTAGCGTAGAGTATTAACACTTTATAGCTTACCGTCATACAGCATACAAAGTCTCGAAATGCATCCTTGACAAAAGTATAAGTTTGTGGTAAAAACCTTTGGGTTAGGACAGTACCTCAGTACCGCCAAGACGGAACCGCATACCGTCTAGTGTCAGGTTTCGCCAGAGCTGATAGGTCTATGGCGGTAGCCAGCTATCGTCCTGCCGGTAGGGCCTATCGTCCGGGCAGTATCTCTGTACCATCTGAACAGTATCCAAGTGTCGTTCCTGCGAGAGTTTTTGTACAATGTCATCTTCAACCTCGCTCCAAACTTCTAAAATACCATTTTTAAGCTTCTAATCATCATTTTAACTTTATAAAAACGTTCTCTAACATCCATAGATTATTTTGAAACAGTTATTTCGAAGCTTTAACAACAATTTGAAAGTTTATGATTCTTAGTTCATCAAAAATGTATTTTTCATTTTTATAGCATATAACTCAATCAAATGATTGTTTATTGATGTAGAATCGATCTATATGCATATTATAGTCATTAGATATATATAAGGTCTCACCGAGCTTAAACGAATAAAACAGTGATTGAACGATGAAACTTCTAGTGAACACCATGACTATCTCCGAAAACCTTACGCTCTCCACATAGCACCATTCGTTTCTCCACACTCATAGCTCTCATAAAAAGGAAGAATTGAAAATTTTGTTGTGGAAACGTGAAGGGTGAGAGTGGTCTTAGATAGAAATAGGAGAAGGGAGAGGTGTGTAGAGATGGGGACTCCGTTAACCCGCTATTAGTAACTTAACGGCGATTCAAAATTTACACATTTCAATAAAATTGAGATTATTATGCATCACAGTGATAGGTGAAATAATTTTTGAAAAACCAAGTAAAATTGGAATTATTTTGGATAACTTTTCTTTTAAGAAATTATTATAAAAGTTATTTTTTGTATCAATATCTAATACGGAGTATCAATTTCATATAATTATTGGTCAAAGTTTATTAATTTTTACTACAACAAGTCAAAACTATACAAATACTTAAGTATGGAAGTAGTATATTGGACCTATTTAGGAATAACATTAGAAATCAACGTTAGCATTTTAAATAAAATTTCAATTGTACATATTAATTTGAAAATGCTGCCGGTAGATAGCTTTTTCAAAACGCTAACGTTATTCCCAAACATGTCCATTATATTATGCGGAGTACAAAATTTATGATTAAAATCCAGATGAAGGGTCCGGGCTTTAGAAACAATTGTCTCATTTGTTGAATCTGAGGATATATATTTAAAATCACACAATCTGGAAATAATGGTGTAAATTCTTCCAAACCAAAAAACAACTAATCCAATATAATCCCAACCCTCCGTCGGAGTCTAGGGAAGCAACTCCCTTGAAAAAACAGAGAGCCCATTAATACCCAAATCTCTTTTTTTTTTTGAAGAAGAAGAATAATAGGGTTATGCCCAAAACATCATAGTAACCAGGAAGTACGAAGTTTAATGTGTCATTTTGATTTTGACTCTTTAAGCTCCATTGGCAATGAATGCAACATCAAAAGCAACGTGTAACACGCAAACCGCCAACATATCTTGCAATGGGGAATTGATAGTATCACTCGGCAAACTTTTTATTGGCACTCCCAACGTTGTTTCAAGGAACAAATTTTAGCAAAAGGGAGTAGCAATATCAAGTTTGGGAGTGACAACATTTGCACCCATTGCAAGCGAGGCAACAAAAAGGATGCCATTTCGTGAAGTACTTGAACACTATAAGCATTTTGCAGAAAAGAGTATCGCCATTGATGAAAACGAAACAAATATTTACGGACACGAAAAATCAAGTTTAAATTCAACAATTTCACCCGATCCCCATGTGTACCTTCTTTTCCATCATCGTCAATCAAATGTTTGCTTGATAGCCTTCTAGCCATGGAAAGCATATCATCATGTGCATATAAGCTTCAAACCATTTCACATTCTTCTTTGCAGAATCATATCCATGGGAAATCAGAGTTGCTGGCATACTCAATTTGTCCATTGCCTTTGAATATTTGGGAAATTAAATATCTGCAGGGATTTAACTTTTGGTTATGGGTCATTATCACTCATCAGATATAATCTTCTACAGCATGCCACCATTCCGTTCATGCTTACAGTCTATTGATTAAGCATTTAAGATGAAGGTATTTTTGAGACATTTCAATTACTAGATATTCGTGTTTAGAGACATCATAATTATTACTCCGTAAGATATAGACAAAATTTTGAAAGCCTTCTGCTCCAAAGCCCTCCATCCAAATCGACCTTCAGATGACCCTTCATCTCGATTGAAGGTTTTGGAAGGTTGTCTATATTTGATTCTCTCTCCGTAATTTGCTCACTTTGACTTCACGGAGATAAAAAAAAATATTGAAAAGATGTTGAATAGTGAAATCATGAAATGTGAGTAGTTTGGAATTAGGATCTGTTTAAAGGAGTGGAGTATTTTGGACCACATACCCTTTTCTAAAAAGGGAAAGCGTGAGAAAATTATTTTGGGAATAAAGGGAAGAGATAGTATTATGGAGGAGAGGAACGGAGATGATCAAATCTTGTTTGGATACTAGATTTTGAAGAAAGGGAAGAGTTGCCTCACTTACTGTGACACAACCCGAGTTACAAAGCTAGGGTTGGCAATTCCGATGAAGGCGATCCTCATGATTCAGATGACGATAATTATGATGGCGATGATGACCTTGAGCAATTTCTCATAGCTTGTTCTCCTTCACTCCAAATGACTCTGATTTGGAGGGATCGCTTTTGAGGGAAATGGAGGGGCTTCCATCACAAACAACCGAGAAAGAAGCTCCCTTCCTCCATCACCCTTATGTTCCCTTCATTCCCCCAAATCCAAACATGCCATAAAAGAAGTTATTGTTTCCTTCTCAGAAAGTTTAAGAAAAAGTGAAATTGTATTGTGGAAGTTTATGGGAGGTGAGAAATAATGTGAACCACTAATTTCTTTCACAAAACGAAACGAGAACATTTTGGAACTAAAAAAGAGACGCAGGAAGTTCCTTTAGGAACAGAGGAGATATGCACTAAGCCCTCAAAACCCTTCTCCTCCAAAACACATTGAAACTGACCCTTATTGATCACCAAAAATGTTAAATTCTAATCAGTACTAAGTCGATACTATAAGCATCACACACTTTGCAGCATAGCAATGGTTGTTTGCCTGTTTACCCTTTTTTTGCACAATATATTGCCAATGGCACAATTGGACAAATGAAACAGAATGCTTATTTAATTAGTAATGAGGTTTATGAGGAAAATCACACTATTTAACATACCAGATACTTTCCACGTACTGGCGGTACTGCCATTATGACAATGTTCACGCATATTTTTAGTGTTGGCTATTACTCCCTCCGTCCCGCAGTATTCGTCCAGTATTCCTTTTTGGGCTGTCCCATAGTATTTGTCCACTTTCCTTAAATAGAAACTAAAATAACATAAAAAGTCTTTTATGCCCTCTCTTCAATCTCCTTTTTCAACTAAATTCAGTTGTCCTCTCCGTTTCCTTCCTCTTCTGACTCCATCCCTTTTCTTCCAAGTCCTCTTTTTCTTCTTCTTGCATTTCCTTTTCTCTCCCCTCCATCCCATCCTCCCACTCTTCTTCTCTAATTCCCTCTCCCGACTACGTCTTCTTCTCCAATTCTTTCTCTGATCTCTTCCACCCAATCTTCTTCTTTAATGGATTCTCTCTCTCTCACTCATTCCTTCTATTCCCCCGATCTTCTCTCTCCTCGTTTGAGTCTCCTCTTCTGGAGATCTGAGCAATAAACCTTTCTTTTTCCACAGATTTGTGCAATGCTAGATCATTGTTGGAAATTTCTTGCCAATCTGTCGTATTTAGTGGTGGATCGGAGGCTGCTACGATTGGATATGGGGCTGGAAGTTGGGGAGCGGGCTTGGCAATAGATACACAGTGGACGCAGAAGATGAAGAATCGAGAGACTGAGAACCTGGGACGGTTGAGGAAAGTTGGCTAGTCTAGGGCCAATTGGGTCACTTTACTCTTGATCTTGGTATTTGTGCCACTTTGGAAGTGGACAAATAAAGAGGGACGGAGGGAGTACCTAATTTACCTCAATGTATATTTAACTTGACAATCTTCCTGGAAAAAGACTTCAGGCTTTAAATGTTTGAAGGTGTTTTTTAAGAATTTCTTGTGTCTGGAGAATGGAAATAATTTTCCATATCTCAACGCAATTCTGTGATTTTTTTTTCATCTTTTCTGACTTTTTTTTTTGAAACATTATATAATGCATAGAATATCTTATTTTCCATCATGTTTTTCCTAGAAAACACTATCCACCTAAAATATGTTTTTCCACATTACTTTGGCAATCAAACAATGCCATAAGGCATATCCTGAAGGCTTTACATAGATTCCACATCATTCCAAATACTTCAGTTGTTTATATATATGGGTTTCATACATTTATCTAGTTCTTCTCTCAAATGCTCATAGCTAAAGATGAAGTCAGTGATGGAGGATTCAATTGAATCCATTCAAATAGTTTCAACAATATCTAGTATCTACTGCCAAATCACTAAGATCAAATTCAAAGCTCAAGCACATGACTGCGAAGTGATCTATGGAGAATGAAAAGTCAATAGATATCATAGCATGTTATGAGGAGGGTACGGTGGAAAGGTCAGTTTGTTGATAGCAATTAAAGTGAAAAGGAAAAAATGTATCATCACAAGTATCTATTCGGATATCATAAATAAATTTAAAAATGGCCTTACTTGGACGGTATCTTGGTATAGGAATTTCTCGCAATTCACGTTGTATGCACAGGAATTCACCTAACAATGCCATTATTGCAAACCCAGTAGCATTCACAACCCACCATGTTAACGAGGAAGGCCAACCCCCATATGCAATACATATAAAAAGGTGAATGATGTATAAGGTGGCAGAAAAATCCAAGCACTTCTTGGCTCTCTCAATCAGATATACCAAGATTCCAGCCCTGCTTGTGAGAAGAACAGGTAGATGAAGTTTTCAGGTTAAGAGATTAGTTCTAAGATCGATAGATCATATAATCCGTATCCTAGAACTAAGTTTTCAGGTGAAGAGATAAGTTTTCAACTTTCAAGTAAATGATATAGTGACTGCAAAGATAAGTAGCATATGTCTGTGTTGCACTAATTCTTCAAACAAGTGTCATCTCCTGTCCCCGAAACCCCGATACTTGGTGTTTCCCTGTTCCCGACCCCATCTCCGTGCAACTTAGACATATATGAGAGCCAACTAGGAAAACGCAGACGGCAAAGATAAGTAGCAGTGCATTTGCAAAGACCAAAGATACACATTACTAAAGTGTCCATGATATCAATCAACAAAACTAGACTTAACACGTGAAGCAAATCTTCAAAGAGCAAAAACCCAAGATGAAGTTGAAGTCTTACCCCACGATTGAGCTGAGAATAAACGAAGCAATGACACACCAGCCGGTGACAGTAGCAGCCGTGATACTGCCATAATCAAAGAAATACACAAGGCTCAATCGGGACACCCGAGTTCCCACTAAAACGGCCATGAATATCCCCATGGTCAAGTAGTACAGGCACTGAAGGCACACGATTTGGGCAACAATGAGCCAAGGATCCCACACGGCCGCCCCATAGAACATCTCTACTCCCAAACCCCAATACAAATTTGTCCCCAAAAGGCTCGGAACCCTAGCTCTTCAGGATTTTGAATCGGGGAATTCGCCCAAATATGAGTCTTGGTAGGGAAATGAAAGAGAGCTAGAGGATATGCTCCGGGGAATCGAGATCGCGGGAAAATGAAACCCTAACAGGAAGCTGATTGAGGCGTGGAATTCATGAGCTTTTTCCAGCCACGAAGAGAAATGGATTGCGAGAGAGGGCGGTTTAGCTGATAAAAAACAAAGAAGAATAAATCAACGCTCTTGAGATTCACACGCTATGAAAGATTTGATGAAGAAAAGGGTAAAAAACAGCCAATCTCTAGTTGAGTTTATTCTAGTTTTTTTTAAAATTCTTTCTAATTGTTTTTATTTTTTTCTAACTTTTATTTTAACTTTTTCTAGTTTTTCCAACTATTCTTATTTTCTTCAATTCTTTTTACTCCTAAATAACGATTCTAAAAATAAAATGGTTTTCATATATCATTATTTTTATTGTTGTTATTATTATTATTATTATTATTGATGGTGTAAATTCCACCGGGTACGAAAATTAGGTAATTGAGTCTTGTTAGGGAGACATAATCGGGTAAATAAAAATAAGCGCAAGAGTAAGAGGGTGTTTGGTAATGCGCTGCTTTTAACAATTTAGTTTCTGCTTTGAATGGAAGTGATTTTTCTCTGTCTGGCATGTCAGCTTCTGTTTTTCACCAACATTATTTTGTACATGGAACACCGTTTTGGAGAAGCAGGTATGAGGTGCTATTGCTTTCAGCTTTTGTAGAAATTACTTTATCAATAAGCCAATTACTCCCAAACACCCTCTAACAAACACAACAAAAAATCACTTAGACCAAGACAAATTCCCCGAGTCTGAATATATTTCTTACTCTTTCTCTTGATTGTACTAGGTGTTGTGGAAGTAAAAGTGAATGTCCTCTCCTCTATATCTATCATATATTATTTATAGAGTAAAGGAGGCTAAGTAGGTGCATGAAAGTTAGTCACTTGATGACAAATAACCAGACAACATCCATCAACATTCAATCAGAATATATTGATTGAATATAAATCTAGGATGGTGCCAAAAGACTTTCCCACATTGATCTTTTGAGTGATGGATGTGGGTCCCTCCGCATATCTTCTAGATACTATGGTTTGGGGGCGCGGATTCGCCCGACCGTGACCTCCATGTCGTAACCCAAAAATGCGACACGTCAAATTGTATGCAGTCCGAAACTTCATTCCTCAGAGTTTACGTGAAGTCCCAAGACAGTCACCGGTCACCTAACTCCGGGGGTCACCCGTCACCCGATATTGTCCCCAAAAATGGCCTCTAACGTCCATCCATGAAGACCAAAACCGTGATCAGCCACCTAACTTTAGGGATGACCGGTCACCCGACATCGTCCCCAAAATGGCCTCTAACGTCCATCCCTGGAGACCGAAACCGTGACCGGTCACCTAACTCCGGGTGTGACCGGTCACCCGACAGCGTCCCCAAAATAGCTGCAAAGCTGAGGTTGGATGACCAAATCTGTGACCGGTCACCCGACCCCGTGGAGCCAAACGGTCAACCATCGTGACAAATGATTGACCGTCACGATACCAGAATCCACACGAACTCAATTTCAAAAATCCATGACCTGTTTTGACCATAATATTTTATGAAGACTAGATTCTTCAATTGGCTACTGAATGTGTTTCTATCTTGTATGATATATCTTTGGATTATCCAAAGGTTTGTACGTTTTATTCATATCATCATGCATGACATAGATGCATGACGTAGGGAACAATTCATATCATTCCAAACCACCTAAGAGGTCAAGCCCAGAGCCCAGTGCACCTCTTAACGCGGGTTCGCTCAAGAACCTTTTGGTCTGGCAGGTATCATACATGGGATTAGTGTACGTACATGATAATCCAGATTCTCGAATGCCACCCACGACTATTCTAGTCTCGTCATGAGACTAAGGTTTGCCCGAATCATAACCCTTGTGGTGTGACCTCAGAGCGCAAGGTGCTCATATTGTTTATTTATCTCAACCACTATGTGATACACGTACATTAAGTATAGGTATGGATATGTTTGTATCTATATTGTTATACCACTGCATATTCTCTTGCTAGCGTTAGCACACAGCTTATGCTGAGCGTACAGTTGTTTTCTTAGCTATAGACAGGTAGAAATGATGAACTTGAAACCTATCCTAGAGGTCAACGAGAGTGAGGAGATGTATGGACATGTGGATGTGGATTCACGCACTTTCTTTTCTTAAATTACCTTTACCTTTTCGGGCTTGAACACAATCTTGTTGTTTTTCCATTTATGGACTGTTACTTTTAATCTTCCGCATCAGACTGTTTACATTTACTCCGTTATGTTTGTTTGAACTATTTTATTTGGTTTTATTTAAGTCATTGTTTAAAGGGAATTTAAATTAGATGTTTTAAAATACAATTTTAGTAACTACTCCGACCCGTTGGGCCGCTAGTAATTAGGTCTCACGCGTTGGGGTGTTAGACTTTAGTATCAGGGTATTTGGTTTAATTTTAAAAACGATTTTTGCAACTTAGTCAAATGATATTTAATATTTAATGAATAAATCGTTGAACTTAATTTATGTTTATTTGGGCTTGAACCCAAAGTTGTATTTACAGTGGACGTTTTACTTTAAGCTTATGCGAACAATCGTGAACTCTTTAATTATCGAAACAAGGATTTAAGTAAACAATGTTTTAACCGGCAAACCCGGTTTTGCTAGCACTCTAGTCTGGGCGAATCGGGTCAGCCAGGGCGGGGTGTTATATTTTGGGTCGGGGTGTTAATAATGGTATCGTAGCAACCCTATGGCCGTGACTGGCCAAAATAGCTTAGTTCACCTAGCGGGGAAGATCTAAGGGTTTGAAAAAAAGATGCAACGAGGACGTTGCATTCTTAAGTGGGGGTAATGTAATACCCTGATTTGAAAATAAATTGATTGAGGAAAGAAAACGCTCAAAAAGATTGATAGTACTACTCATACCAACAAAGTACATCTTCTTTTTGAGAACTCATCACTCAGAAACTCCAAAGTTAAATGTGCTTGACTTGGAGCAATTCTAGGATGGGTGACTCCCTGGGAAATTCCTTGGGCACGCATGATGAGCGAGGACAAAGTGTGCGGAAAAGATTTGTGTTAGTTTGTTGGGCCCTATTTTAGTTTTTTTAGAATACTTTTGCTTTAAAATTATTAACAAATTTAAAAATATGGGGCCCTAAAATTTTAGGAGCCCTGTGCGGTTGGTTACTTTACACATCCTCCGAGCCATCCATGATGGGCCTGTTTATAATCCTATGAGCGGATGCTTACGGTGGGGTCGCCAAAATAATCTATATCCTTCTCCAAGCTTTGTCAGCTTTTTGTGATGGCTTTGGGAAGGTGGGCAGCATGTTTGAGCAACAGCCCACAAATCTGTTAATTTTGCTAATATGAAATCAAAAACCCACTTTTTTTTGCATGGCAATATGGAATAATACTTCGTATAAGTTAGCTTAGGCCTTCTATTGGATCTTTTTTTTCTTGCTGGCACAAAATGGCCAGCAAAAATGATTGTGTAAATTAAATTATTCCAACCGGTTAAATTCTTTCAATATTTTTTAGCTTGAAGTTCAATGTTTACTAACATCCAATTTTGAAATTCTAAAATAAAAGAATAGAATTATAAGGTTTGGCAAATTATGAAATTATGGGCACCCTATATGTGATTGGTAAAGGCTTATCTAATATTAAAACAATTATCTAATTGATTTATTTTTAAAAAAAAATTATTTTATATGAGAAGATGTATGTGCTGTTGTGCAATTGTGCATGTTAGATTCTCTTTAACGACTAAAGGGCTGTTTGTTTCAGCCTCTTAATGGTTCAGATGTCTGAATGATTCAGCACTTAATGGTTCAGACTGTTTGTTTCAGCCTCTTAATGGTTCAGATGTCTGAATGGTTAAGAGATTTGCCTCTGAATGGTTAAGTATTATACAGAGTGTGAATGGTTAAGAGCTCTTATCTGAATTGATCAGACATTTGCCTCTGAATAGTTAAACAATATACTAGCTCTTAATGGTTCAGACCTCTTACTGGTTCAGCACTTAATGGTTCAGACCTCTTACTGGTTCAGCACTTACCCATTCAGAAGTTACCAAACAGCCCCTAAGCCACGTATACACAATCATCCATTTCTCTTAAAAATTTTGTCTTTTAAAATTTCTTCTAACTATTCCTTTAGGAATGGACGACGTCAATTATTTTCTAAATTCTTTTTTAGGAAATATTAGTGTAGTTAACTTTTTATTGCATCATTTCTAACTAACCCATCACCATAATTCTTTTTTTTTCCTTAATAAAAGACCAAGTCCAAATGGGTTGAAATTTTAGAACATAAAGATTTTCTTTTAATAATGTACTGTGTCAAAATAGACTTTTTTTTGGAAACAACTTATCTGCTTTTGGGTGGAGGCAATGTTTGAGCAGGCCCGCCCAATCATTATAGAAGGCCATGTACAAATGAGCAACTTAAGCCCCTGATATAAAAAGAAACAATTCAACAAAAAAATGAATCATTTAAGATGCAAAAACCACCTATCAAATCAATTTAACACACTTAGATAAATATTCAAACAATGCTAAATTAAAATATTGGTGCAAAAAACACAATTGAGATATTTTGATTTGCCTTTAAGTTCAAAACTATTTACAAATTAGAAATGCTATAGTGACAAACAAAGAATTTACAAAAATCACAAACTTAGTATATTATTAAGATCTCACTAGTCAATATGAACAAGATGCACTCAAATGAAATTGTAATGTCTAAAATTAAAATTACAAAAAGCACATTTATAAATTTTGTGAACTCTTTGTTTGTAAATAACATTTCTTTTCACAAATGATATTGCAATGTCTAAAATGTAAAAGCTGAAAAAAGGGAACAAAAAATAGTTTTTAACGCCTAAGAAATATAGTGCCCAATAAATACTGAGTAATCTAAAACTGAAATTGTAATTTCTTATTTTTTTCTTTGTTCAATCCAGGGAAAATATATTCTTTCAAAAATTAACTTTTAGAACAGTAAAACAATGAAACAAATCAAAATAGGTTAATTAGAGTAATTAATAGTTGATCATTGACAAAAAAAGAATAAAAATCTAAAAGTATAAGTCATGCGATTGAGGAGTTCCATTGACAAAAAATAAATTGAATTAGGAAAAAAAACTAAAGCAGAAAAATCAAGAACTCACCACTCCAGAGGAGAAGCTGAGGAACTTTGCGTTAGACTAGGGGGAGCCGCGGAGGAAACGATGAGGCGGAACACTGAATAGTCCTTTCTTATTAATTATTGGGCTTGAGTAATAGAATAAATCTAGTAATGGGCTAAAGATAAAATTAAAAATGGGCCCTTATATTTCGGAGGCCCTGTGCAAGTGAACCTAATGCACTTGCTTATGGGCGGGCCTGTGTTTGAGTAAACTCACCCTCCCCAAACCTTTCTCTCGTGGAATTTAACTAAGTTGTTATTATCATTATTGTTTTTGTTGCGGTATATGATTAATTCTATGAAAAAAATACTTTCATTGTCCTAAAATATAAATTTAGTTTAACTTTTTCAAGTCAATTTGGATAAAAATTAACTATCAATTACATTGAATTTTTATTGCATATTAATACGATGGAATAAATTTTTAATAATTTTATGCAACATAAATTTAATGAAATTATTTTAGTACTAATGCTCAAAATAATCTTTATCTAAATTTCGATCAAAACTTAATTTTAAAAAAAAACAAAATAAACGAATACTTTGAGAAGGTAGTACATTTTATTTTCATTTAGATATCTAAACTAATTGGATAAAGCTATTTGTACCCCAACTTTTCTACCCGACTTTGTACCCCGCAGGTCTACACCAACACAAAAAGTGTTGGTGTAAAACTAATTTTTGTTAATGCACCAACACTTTGTGTCCATGTAAATTTTTGTTAACGCACAAACACTTGTGTCAGTGTAAACCATCAAAATGTTTGTCTATAACTGCGGTGTAGAAATGAGATATAATTTGTGGTGTAAGTGTAGCATGACCCAAATTAATTTGTCCTTATTAAGTTCGTAAATCGTAAATTAAATAAAAAAGTAGAGTGTTTCAAAAAAAAATTAGAGTGTATAATATTCTAATATGATAGGAAAATGATAGGGTGTCACCACATGGGTGCACCCATGGTATTCTTAGAAGGCCATAAGATGGGTGTAGTTGCAGGCTAGGCCCACACACGATGATCATGAAAATAAATTTAATTTTTACCCTTTTTGGGTGTGGAAAATGATTACACATTTGGGAAAAGTATGAACCCATTAGGCCATTACATGAAACCACCACATTCACTTAATTATTATTGTCTCCCTCCATAAATCTCCTTTTTATTTGGACTAATATGGAATTTTAGAAAAAAAATATTTTTGTACAGAGTATTAACTTCTTCCGATTATCTTTGATATGATAGATAAAAGTAAGATGTAATAGATATATTATTTGTAAAATATTATTAGTAAATAATAACGATATGATAGGCAAAGTAAAAGTAACCTTTTAATAAAAAAGAAATAAGATTTTGAGACATAGAAAAAAGGAATAAATACTTTTAGGGACAGAGGGAGTATATCTTTTCAATTATAATTTTCTACTTTAATTTTTTTTCTAGTCAAATTAATAAAGTTTTGGTTTTTTTTAAATAGAAAATTTTACTAACATACTCCATCCGTCCCCCAGTTTTTGTCTACTTTTGACTTTTGGAACTGTTCATCTAAGCACTTTGACTCATCAAATTTTTTCAATGTGTAAGCCTAAATATAGTCATGTGTGATCTTGTTTGATTTGTCTTAACATATAGATTATTAATATATAATTTCTATAATTTTTTAATATACAAATTACAAGATAAAATAGATTAAAGAAGTGAATTGGATGATGTGCAAAAATGAAAGTGGACAAAAACTAGGGGACGGAGGGAGTATTAGCTAAAAATAATTAAT